ACTGCGGGCCAAAAAGGAAAGGCTTGACTTTCGAGGCATATCCAGTTCATAGATCAGAATTTTTATAGATCGTAACATCATTAATTTTCAATGATGCTAATTTTCTCTAAATGATATACTGCTAATCAGAATTCAGAGAGGGTGCCTGCAGAGGCTGACAAGTGAATTCTAAAATGTATTGAAGAATAAAAACACATCGGAAAGCTTATTCCACAGCAGTAGTTTCAAGTTTGGCTGCACTTTCTAGTCATCAGGGAGATGTCTAGGGACAGTGACACCTTACCTCTTACATAATTAAATCGGTACTCGTGAGAAGACATCCAGACACTGATAATCTTAAAAACATGTCAGATGTTTCAAGCGTGCAATCAAGTTTGAGAACCACGGCCCTGCAGCATATTCTTATACAGCATGTAAGATGAATGTTCAGTAATGCTGCAGATCCACATGCATTAAGACTAATAAACTGTGTAATGAACAGTTCTGTGACTAGAGAAGCAGAGAAGCCACTAGAAGAGACCTTGGTCTGAAACACAATGTTTATGACTAGGGAACACAATACAGGGTTAGCGAAAAGAGCTTTGCAGCCAGGTATGGTGTGGGACCCCTCTAATGTTAACACTTGAGAGCTAGAAGCAGGTGATCCCTGTGAGTTCAATGCCAGCTTGGTGCATAGAGTGAATTCCTGGCCAACCACGGACACACAGTAATATGTAACAGTAATATGCTGTCTCATTTTTTTTTTTTTTTGTCTTTCAATGTTCCTGTACTCATTAGCTCTCTAGATCTTAGCCCTCATTTCACACCATATATAAAACAATCAATTTCAGGCAGAGAACTGGTACAAAGGAAAGAGTAAATAATTGAACTTCAAGAGGCTAACATAGTATTTTCATAACTCATGATAAAATAAAAATTTTCTTAGCAACACATAATAGAAATGTAATTGTAAATTGGGCACTCTAAGAGTAAAATTGAAAACCTCCCCTCATGAAAAGGCACTCAGAAGGAAGAAAATGAAATGCTGAGCTTCACAGGTGAGAAGATATTCACAACAGAAAGCATATTAGCATATATATATATATATTTATATATATATATATCAAGTCATTAATAAAAATTTATAAACCCTTATATAAATGAGCCAGACCTAGGAACCATGTCCTAAAGAGAATATGCAAACATCACAGAATAGGAAAGAAAACGTTCTCGATCTCATTAGATACAAGGCAGACATGAACTACAACCTGGACTCCCTGAAGGGTTCCTACCAGAAAGACTAAAATCAAGACGGCCAATGACAGGAAATGTCATCAGGTGTGTTAGCAGGACCTTTCAGAGACGGCTGGTGGAAATGTAGACTGAACAACTGCTTAGGAAATTTTCCTTTCACCACCCACCCAGCACAATATACACACATTCAACATAGAAATTTCACTTATTTTTAATATCCTTGGGAACATGGATGAATAAGAGAATTTCATGATAAAATGCTACCAGTGACTTTAAAGTAGAAATAATCTAAAACCCATCAGCAGTAGAATAAGTAAACTTTGGTGTATTCATCCAATACTATATTATATACTACTAGAACAAATGGCTTGCACCTATAAGCCCAGGCTTTCAGTATGCTGAAGCAGGAGGGTCACAAACTGAAGACATGCCTGGGCTACAGAATGAGTCCAAAGCCAGCTTATGGAACTTAGTGAGACCCTGTACCAAACAGAAAGTGAGAAGAGGGTTGGGACTATTGCTCAGCGGTAGAGCCCTTGCCTAGCATGCTCAAGGCCTTGGTTTCAACCCTCAGTACAACATAAGGAAAGAAAGATAGAAAGGAAGAAAGAAAGAAAGAAAGAAAGAAAGAAAGAATGAAAGAAAGAAAGAAAGAAAGAAAGAAAGAAATGAAGGAAGGAAGGAAGGAAGAAAGAAAGGAAGAAAAGAAGGAAGGAAGAAGGAAAGAAAGAACAAAAGAAAGAAAAAGAGAGAGGAAAGGAAGGGAGGGAGGGGGAGAAAGTGTGTGTGTGTGTGTGTGTGTGTGTGTGTGTGAGAGAGAGAGAGAGAGAGAGAGAGAAGCAAACCATGATCCACTGCAAATAAATAAATTGTATAGAATAGTATAGATTAACTTTACAATACATGTACACCAACCAAAAGAGTACATACTATAATTTTCCATTTACATAAAGATTATAAGTAGACAAAAGTCATGGAGTATTGGTTAATTTGGGGAAGGATTAGATAACAATTGAAAAGTATATAAGATGAGTCTTCTAGAATACTAGTGGTTTTCTATTTCTTGGGTGACAGTTACATGGATGTACTTATTGTGTGGAAATACATTTTAATTAAGTGATAACATAGTGGTAAAGTCATAAAGAACAAAGACAATGATAGGAACAAATTCCTTTTATAAAAAAATATGAACTACCACTTCTTCAAGTTAATATATAAAATCAAGACAATCTAATAAAGGTCTTCACTAGATTTCTTAAAGAATCAGTTGTTGTTTTTTAAATGTACTTTAAAAGTCTGTGAACAGCTAAGCCAACTTTGGAGCATGTAATAAAAACAAGGGTGTCAGAAAAACAAGGGTGTCAGATGTACCCTGAACATATATTAACCAATTTCACAGCAGCTATTCAAAAAAATCATATGAGTGGGAACAAATAGTTAACAAAAATCAACTAATATAACAGAAGAGGTATTTCCAAGACAAATGATGCATATGTGAGCATATTATCTGATTTGGAAGCAGCAAGATGGTACTGGGAAAATCTGACTGAACATGTCCGAAAAAGGAAAATTGGGTCCCTGTACATCTCATAGCAAAGCATCCTGCAAATAAACTAAAGACCAAATATAAATTCTGAACCTGTTAGGTTGTTACAAAAATTCTTCCTAGATATAGAGGAAAAACTTCTTCCATAAAGCCCTAAAAGCATGAGACAAGAAGCAATTGATGGCTGGCTTAGAAATGTAAGTTCTGGTGTCATAGGAGGTAAGTGTGATAAAAGATGGCCTAATCCCAAATAACCAGTTCACAAAAACTTAAGTAAAATCTGAAGGTGACTAGTACAAACTTTTCAGGGGTGTGGAGGTATGTAGGTGTGCATGTATCAACCTTTTTTAATTTTTAATTTTTTTTGGAGGTAAGACTGAATCATTACTCCCTCACTTGTTCCCACTGGGAACTGAAAACATCAAAACTCAATATATTGGATACACTGAACCAACCCATGATCTATTCTATCCTAATCATGTGCAGAACATGCATTGTTACAGTGAATACAATTAAATCCTTTGTTGCTGTTGTTTGTTTATTTGTTTGTTTGAAACAGGATTTCTCTGTGTAACCCTGGACTGGAACTTGCTCTGCAGACCAGGCTGGCCTCAAACTCAGAGATCCACCTGCCTCTGCCTCCTTAGTGTGGGGATTAAAGACATGCACCACCTCTCCCCACTACAAAATACCCATTTTAAAACCAAGTATTTAAAATCCCGTTCTTCACATATAACTTATTGACTACTGTACTTAAAATGAAAAACAAAACAAAACAAAAAAAAAAAAAAAAACCAGAATGACTGTGTATTTCCACTACACTGAAAAGTCAAAAAATTGGAAGTCTAACTATGGGAAGTCGGGGACAGCCCGTGAGTTCAAAAGCCAACCATTGTTCATTTCCTTGTCATTTGACTAGACCCAATTCCTTGTTTTTCTTTAATTCTCCTGTTTTTGTAAGCAGATATAGATACCTACCTAGAAAATGTTTTCAGTACATTGTATGTAATCAAACTAACTTTAAAATGCTAGAAAACATTGGGGATTTTACGTATTACAGTAAGTTACACCAAAATTCACCAGCCTGCCAGTTTTAAATAATTTTCAGTGAACTTTAACTTTTCGACGCAGATTTTAAAAGGGATTTTGTGGTCACTAGGCACTAATTTCTATATCTTTAAATAAAATTTGCCACTATTTAAGGAGTTTAGAGCGGGCTCACTACAGAAAGAGGAGTATAAACACAAGGCGATTGTAGAAGTTGTTCGGAACATGGCAGCACTTATTTGTAAGGACTGTGCCCTTGATAGTCACATTCATTTTGGGTGAAGCAAATATAGTTCAGTTGTTTTCTTTTGTTTGTTTGTTTGGTTTGGGTTTTTTTTTTTGGCTTCTGAAAAATAATCTAGAAACAAGTATCGACAATGTTTTTTGGATACACCCAAACAATCCATGATCATAGCTCAATCTATTCTATCCTAACCATGTGCAGAACATTCATTATTACAGTGACTGAAATCAAACCCTGTGTTGTTGTTGTTGTTGTTTGTTTGTTTGTGGAGACAGGGTCTCTCTGTGTAGCCATGGTCATCCTGAAACTCATTCTGTAGACCAGGCTGGCCTTGAACTCAGAGATCTGTCAAGTACTAGGATTAAAGCTATGTGCCACCACTGCCTGCTACATCTGACAAAATGCCCATTTTATATTGATTTTTAATACCATTTTATACCCCTCCTCGTTTTTTATTTTTTTAAACTGTGTTACAGTGATTTCCAAGGACTAGGCAGAAGTAGCATATCATTTGTATTGACTTGTTGAATGCCTGTCGATGAAAAGATCACAATTCACATAGTTCGGCATCCCCATTCTTCTTACAGCCTTAGTTTCTCCTTCACCAGCCACTGGGTCTCCACTATTCAGTAGCTCCTTAAGTGTGTGTGTGTGTGTGTGTGTGTGTGTGTGTGTGTGTGTGTGTGTGTATGTGTGTGTGTGTGTGTGTGTGTGTGTGTGTGTGTGTGTGTGTGTGTGTGTGTGTTCACCCTTCCTTTAGAGAACTCAGATTTGTGTTTGTGGGTACAATGAGGTTCGAACCAAATAGCCACAACACTGGGGTTGTATACATAGCCTTTCAAGTATCCTTTATTAAAAATCTCTCCCATGAATTCCCAAGGGACTTTATAAGAACTTTCTAGCAAGTTAAAGAATTAGGAAAATGCTTACCTTCAAAGTAGATGCCTGACTGGATTTCTAGGACCCTGGGGAGGGTCCTCAGGTCCAGGGAGTGGACAAATTCTTCCAGCGATAAAGCCATTGTTCTGTCTTGACTGGTGTATAGATCCGATTTTTAGAAAAGCTCGTGGCTTCTGGATGTCATTCGTCTGCAGTTGCCTTCTTTGCTCATAATTCCTCCCTCAGGCAGACAGAACGTCAAGGGGGAGCCCAATCGGGGTAGAACAGCCTTCGGTGGAGAGGTACTTGTCCACAATGGCCGTTCTTCACAATTTCTGCCTGGGGCAGAGAGGAGATCGCACTGGAGCCAAGCAGGGAGGAACAGAGCAGGGGAAGACAGAGAGGACAGGCAGGAGGCAGAGTGGGTAAAGCCCCCCCCCCTTTTTTTTTGTTCTCCTTGTGGCTTCATTTCCTTCTGACTCTGAGGTAGAACAGGGTGGGGGTGGGGTGTGTTTGTCTGAACCCACACTACCCAAAGTAATGAGGTTGGCAAGTTGCGAGTGCTTGTGCATCCACAGCCGTGGTAAGACTGTGAAGAGACAGTCACCTGTGGTGTGACCACCGTACGTGGCCAGAAGGCAGGAGCAATGTCTTACCTTAAAAATGGCACTCCATCACTTCATCACCCCTCTGCATCCAGCGTTGAGCTTTGTGTTTTATTTGCATACTCTTGGCGCTTTTATATTAAACTTGATTACAAAAGAGGCCTGTGTCAGCTGTTTTTAGAAATCTGATGCTCAGAAGAAGGCTAGAAACCACTTTTATCTTTCCACATTAAAATTTTTGCTGAGCCTTAAAGGAAGGTGGGGGAGGGTGTTATATGAAAAGTGACTCAGGAATTAAGTTAATGGGAACTTTCTGGCCTCCGCACTGCGAAGGCCAGTATTTAAGAGCAGTGATTAGAAGCATGACTCTTGAGCTTAGCCCTTCTTTCGACTTACAGGCGAACATTTCCTCTTCAAGAACTCATGTGTTGATTAAATGTAGATTTAAAAACTAAATAAACTGTCCAAGCCCCAAATTCTACAATTCTGCTCTTACGGTCAAAATTTAAAGTTGAAAATGCCCAAAGCTAAAGGAAAACTTGTGAAAATTAATTTTTAACCATCAAAATTAATCTATTTGTTTTCTTTTTTATTTTTTAAAACAAGATTTCACTCTGGAGACCAGGCTGGACTCAAACTCATGCCAATCCTCTTCCACTCTGTGCTGGGATTACAGGCATGTGTCACCACATCTAGTTTAAAGCAGCTTTGTTGTTGTGGTTTTTTTTTTCTAATTAAACTTTTATTGATTTTTTTTGTGTGTGTGTGGATTTCACATCATGCATCTCGATTCAATTCACTTCCCAGGCCCTTCGAATCCACCCTTTGCCCTGGCAACCTCCCCCACAAGATAAAACAAAATAAAATGTAAAGGAAAAGAAAAATCTCATCATGGAAGCTGTGGTGTGACACTGTGAGTCGCACAGTATACCCTTTAGTTCCTGCATCTTACTTACAAGTGTTCATCGCAGTGAATCAGTGGCCTGGTTCGAGGCCTCTGGTTTCTGCTATACCCTGGATACTGTGAGCTCACTGGGACTCCTCTTGGATATCCAGTTGTTGCCCTGTGTCATGGAGATCTTGCAACTTTGGGTCCTCAGGACCAGTCCCATACACGGGGTCGATGTTGGGATGTGCCAACTCATGGCCCTGGTTCTGAGCCTGAGTGGTTGCTGGGTTGGTCACCAGGATGAGCTCTCTGGAATCATCTGGCTAGTTCACTCTGTACAGTAAGCAGCAAGGGGTGGGGCTGGTTCTCCTGCTTTCACACCTTCAGGGTCGGCTCACCCAGACTTACCCTACCAGGGCTAGCTCTACTGTGCTGCCCAGACCAGATACAGGGGCCACTCTGCTGAGTGCTGTAGCTGGTGAGAGTCAGGGCCAGCTCTCTTGTTCCTACTCTCATGACCTCAGGGACAGCTCTCCCACCTGCCACAAGTGGAGAGGTGGGGCTCCTCTCACTTGCCCACACCACCATTTGGCAGTTGAGGGGTGGGGGCCAGATTTCTCATGCTCATATTCTCAGAGCCAGCTCACCTCACTGGTACCTTCTGTGGGCAGGGTCAGCTCTACTATGCTGCCCAGGCGAGGTGCAGGGCCTGCTCTCCCAAGTGCTCCAGCCAGTGAGGGGGTAGGACCAGCTCTTCCACTCTCATGACTCAGAGACCCCTTCTACTGCCTGGGGAAGGTATCAAGGGGAAGGGGCAAGGGGAGAAAATCTCTCCTTCCCCCACACCAGCTCACAAGTTCTCATGAACTCAGGGCCAGATCTCCCACCTGCTACTGGTGGTAAGAGGCAGGGGTCGGGGAAGCATCCCCATCCCATCCACCCCCACCCACCACCTACCCCCCACCACTGCTCAGGACACCATCTGCCAGATGAGGGGTAGGGTCAGATCTCCCATGCTCCCATTCTCGGGGCTGGCTTACCTGTCAACAGAGTTAGCTTGCTGTGGGTTTTTTTTTTAATGCATTCTATTCTTTGTACTTAATTAAAAAGTATTTTAGAAGTTACACATGCAATTTGAAGTGAGAGTATCTACGTTTTCCAGGTAAATAAAGGAAGATTGGTTGAAGTGAGTAGAGTTGAAATATGTTGACATTGCTTACTCTCCTCACAGAATGGATTCCGGGCTCAGTGCCTGACGATGGTATAGCACCTACCAAACTCTTTCTACTTCTTATAGTCATGGTTGGCCCTTGTTGCAATCTGCCAGCCTTCATTCTGTGCAAAACTAGGGTTAATGGCAAATTGCTTCAAATGTTTTCTGCCAGTAACTTCTACATAATCACTCGAAACATTTTGTCCTCTAAATCTCTCAAGCTTGAATAATCTGTCTTCTGTGCCCTTCTCACCTAAGTCTGGGCCTCTCACTTGACTGCAAACACTGTTTATAGCCTAGTGGTATATTTCATATGGCTTTAAAATATGGAAAGGGCTGCCTCTTGAAAATCATACATTTATTAGAGTTGGTGCCACAGTAAATTTTATTTGGTATGTAATCAGTGCCGGATTTCACTTGATGTCTTTAACTTCTAGCCAAAGCTGGAAGACTCCACTATATCATCAGATGTTTATATGTATTCATTCTGCCCCTTTTCTGCTTTTCACCACAAAGATCCTCCCTGTATCTCAGAATCTGGTTTTCCTGTATTCTCGGTCGTAGAGTTAATGATTCCACCATTTTTTAGGAGTGCCACGCTTAAAGCCATGTTTGAACAGACACATTTCTGACAGCTTCAAAGTCCCTCGAGCTCTATGGGTGACAGTCCTCAAGACTACTTCTCTGACCTTGTCCTGTATTGCCACTGCTGCCACCTTAGCCCAAGTTGTTACTACTTCTATCATCTCAAAGACGTCCTGATGTGACCAGCCACGATGAAATGGGCAAAAGAGAGAAATGACTTATAGTGAAATGAATTCCTGAAGTTCAGTCATGAATACAGACATGGCAGGTTTAATCACAGTCAGACTATTGAACGTTCAGAAACAAACAGACTATATGTCACAATTTCCAATCTGTAGAAAGTAGAATTTCAAGCCAGTAAGAGGAAGAAAGATGTATTTTTCAAATGATTGTTAAATAATTGGGGAGAAAGAGAATTCCAAAATACTCTGTAAATGAAAATTAAGACAAATTTTAAATTGAAATTTAAAGGTAAAGAAACCAAAGTCAGGGATAGGAAGGCATGACTGAGAGTTTAGAAGAGCTTCTCCTAAGCATTAATTGAAGTCTTAAAGGAAAAGGCTAATGAATTTGACAACAAACCTTTGAAATATTTCTATAAATCAAAATGTGATTTTAACAAAAAGTGTTTACTCAGCATAAAGCATTCACTCAACATAAATAATCCGTGGTCTTGATGTCCAAGTAGCACATATCAATCATTGTGCAGAATAAAGGTGTTTGGATACTTCTGCTTTAGACCCTGAGATGGTATCTGATCAACTCTTTTAACAAATTCTTTGGAAAACCCACATTTCTTGCAAAGCAATTGTAAGAAGTAGACAGCCTGCCAGAGAAGTGAGGATAGGAGTCCTGGAGGAAGGGGGATGCCATGAGAAGAACTGGGGGTTATACGTTTCTCTCCTTCCAGGCTTTTGTAGGTTAGTATTTGGTACCAATGAAGAGGCTAGAAGTGCAGCAAAGCCTGGTGACAGAGAAGGAGAAACTGTGTCGAGGTTTTAGCAGCATCTGGCAGGTAGAGACACCGAATACTAGAATTTTGGACAAATGGAACATCAGGACAACTTACAGAAATACTCTGTTCTGCCCTGCTTTCACATTTGGGACTTTTGCCTACTCAAAGGCGTCAGAATGTTGACTGTATGCAACAGTATGAGACTGTATGAGGTACAAAGGGGCCAAACAACACATCCACAAAATGCCTCAGAGGAGACATGGCCTGAGAGAGGAAGGAATAAATGCCAGCAATGGTAGCTGCAGACTCTGAAGGCTGTCCCACAAACAAAGAAGTGAATGGCCCCATCGAGAAAAAGTCATCAGAGTACCTGAACAAGCACACACACACACACACACACACACACACACACATATGTATATGTATATATATATATATATATATACAGATATATATATATATACATATATATGTATCCTTAAAATGGCATCCAGGAATTAAATATATAATTTAAAATATAATATGGATACCATAAAATAAAACAATAGTACGCAGAAGTGGGGAGAACTGGCAGGAGAAACATAGGAACAAACTCACAAGGTAACTCAATTACTAGACTTATTTGTGCTGAATTGAACCACGTGGGACATGATGGGGGCATGTCTACATCCTGCAGCGTCAGATACTTTGAAGGCTAAGATGAAGAATCACATTAGCCCAGGAATCACAGTCTGGGAAACTCAGCAAGATCTTGTCACAAATAAAAATATACTAAAATAAAAAAAGAGGGACTGAAGAATTAGCTCAGACGTTAGAGCACTGACTGTTCATCTGCATGACCTGGGCTCAGTCCCGAGCATCCACAGGGCAGCTCACAACTATAGGTAACTCCAGT